AGTAGCTCAATAAAACCAATTTTGAAAAAGAAAAAGAACCTTTACAATAGAATTCATATTTTAAGCTGAATGCATAAAATGATATTTTGGGGTTAATGTTATTTTTTTAAATATAAAGTAGAACATGCCAGAAGGCAGATAACAATGACTTTTTTTTCCTAATTGTTATTGGTCTAGCCACAGCACTACGGAAAGCATTCATAGAAACCTAGTAACTCCAGCACCATGTACTTCAGAGACAGGAACCACACAGTAGCAGTATTTAGAAGTCATCAGTGATCTTACCAATTATATGGTGCAATTTCTTCACATAATGTGCAAGAAAAGAAAATATAGTGACCCACACATACTTAAATGACTATGCATGATCCTAAACTAACTAAGAATAATATCTCATGCTCTAAATCAGAGGTTCTCAATCTGTAGGTCTCAACCCATTTGGGAGTCAAATGACCCTTTCACGGGGTTCACATATCAGATATCCTGCATATCATATATTTACAATGTTATTCATGACAGTAAAAATATAGGTATGAAGTATCAACAAAAACTATTTTATGGTTGGGGGTCACCCAACATGAGGAACTGTAAAAAAGGCCATAGAATTGGGGAGATTGAGAACTAATGCTTTAAAGAAAAATTAAAATATGTGTAAAAATGTTTAAAACATGTTGAGAGAAACACACAAAGCTTTATTCCTAGTACTTTCTGAATTTTTAAAGTTTATCACTACTTCCATCTACATGTAAAAGAAAATGAAATAAACTTGTTTCTCCTAATAATATGCTCAGTTTCTCCTTGTTTTTCTCTTCTCCTCAGTTTCTGTCTTGTATTCCCCAGAGGCACTAGTAAGTCTATAGTAATCTTCATTGTCAAGATCTTAATAGAGTAATTCTAATGTTAAGTTAAAAAAAAGTGTAGATACATAGAATAACATTAACAAAATAAGTAATAACATAATAACAGTAAGCATATTTAGAAAGACTTATAAAATAATTTAATATTCTTTAGTGATATTTCATAATTTATAACCAGAAAATGCCAATTGCATATTAAACAATGGCATAGTGGAAGAAAGACTTATCCATTAGAAGAAAATAGAGTTCCCTACACCATTAAGTAATATATTACTATTCTAATACATTAAATATAGTATATTATAGACACATATTCATTTTACAAAATTAACTATAAAAAGAACTGGTTTTAAGGGAGGGCGGCAGGTGGAAAAATCTGCTTCAGAAGCAATACAGTCACTTTTTTTCAATTTAATGTTCCCAAGTCCCACCAGCATAAACATAGTTTGGAGACAGGCTGTGTAAGTTTGTTAAAGCCAGTGTCTTCCTTTCTCAGTCACAGCCCTATTTAAGAGGTACATGATAAACTTACTCTACAAGATTCTACAAGATTTCTACAAGGGAAGCCACGGAATTATTTACAATTCCAAATCACATATTCATAAGAAAGTCATTAATTTCAGATTTTTACCTGAGCATTACTCACCAATATGTTTATGAGATACTTTAAAAATGAGCACTGTTTGGAATGTATAAATAATCGGCTCATACCTCAGAGGTATCTTTCTTTAACCTGTATGTTGTGGAAGAAATAGAGGTGATTTCTGTGGGTCTTTACTGTCAGTCTTCTCCTGTTTTTGTCCATCGATTTTAATGTTCAAAATGATTAATTTTAATTTTGCTTCTGCCTCAAGGTTTTGCTACAGAAGATCAATAATTTTAAATTAAGACCATCAATTGTAGTGAGGCTATCACCCTATCAGTGTTTTTGTCTTGCTTTGGACACCACTGCTTAAAATGAAATTATTTCAATGTCTTAATTTTTACACCTAGGACCTCATGTCAGCAAGTCAGCTTATCAACTTCAGAAATCTATGCAAATAATTTGAATGTGCAGTGTAAATACCTTGCCTTTTGTCCCTTTGTTTCTTTGTTTGTTTTAACCTTAATTTTGTGATTTTTTTTTCTGGTGCTGGTGACTTGCAATTGTTAGGCAGACACTCTACCCCGAGCTCAAACCTCAGTCTCTGCAAATTAGATACATTTTCTTCCTATTTCGCTTCCTAGTCGCAACTTTAGAAATGTAAACACTATCTACCCAAATACTTTCGTTTCCTTCAGCAGCACATACCTCAGTTTATTTGAGTCTCATATTTCCAATTTCCAGTTATGAAATAAGAGGAATGAAAGTTGCCACCAGATTTATGTACAAAATAAATAACAAGAATGTGCTTACAGCAGTGCCCCACTCTGTGAATTGTGGATAGATATATCATTCCTCCTTCTCTTCTCTTATTGGAAAGATTGTCTTCTTTCAGTTACACAGATGAAAATCGCAATGTCTCCCTTACTTTCTATTTTACTTTTATTCTCTGGACCTTACACGAAATGCATAGCAGTGTACAAAAAAGGAAGAAAGAACACCTTCCCTCCCCAGATATGTCACACATAAACAACACCCACAACATGGAATGGGCTGTGTCATCCACTTCAAAGTTCTACACCTTTAATTTCACCTCATTTACTCAACATTATAACAGTGCTCACTCTGTCACAAAGAAGAAAATATTATGGCGTGGGACTTAGTCTCTGTACTTTGAAAGCAGTTTTCCTTTATGCTGTTCTGCAGAGACTATGCCCTAAATTTCTGCCTTGACTTAGTCAGCGCTTAGTTCATGAGCTCTCAACACCTCATCTCCCTTACATGATGAAAACTAAACCCGAAAGACCACTCCTTATATTCAATAGAGCAGCCATGTATCTCCTATACACTGTAAAATCTGGTTCAATTTGCACTTATGCTGAGTTAGCCACTTGTAAAAGTAATTTGGGTCCTTTCTTTGGAACTTCCAGGTGGAGTTACCTCATCTAAAAGACCACACAAATCACATTTCTTTTTCAGAACTCCTAAAGAACATTTCTCTTATTCTCCCCCCCGTCCCCAACTTCAATTTTCCCTGCTGCTCCAAAGGATTCTAATTTTTCCAAGTAGTGTTATGGAATTTAAGAAAAATGCAACTTGTGTGTATGGGAATGAGTGCGTTCCTGTGACCTGCTCTCTGAATTAGAGGTATTTAAGGAAGTTTCCCACGCAAAAAACAACAGAGAAGCCAGTGGCCATTCTTAAACTACCTCAGATAAACTAACCCATTCATTCTGATTTTCAGGTTATGGCCACAGCCAACATTTGAAGAAAGGTTATTTTGATGGTGGTGGTTTATTTTTGTTTTGTTTTCGTTTTCGATTTTGATTATTTGTTGGTTTTTTTTTAGGGTTTTTACTTGCTTTCTTTCTTTAGTGGTGGTGTTTTGGTTTGGGTTTTTGCGGGGGGGGGGTGAAATTTGTTATTGTTTTGTTTCGCTTTGTTTGGTCACTTATGCTTGGTTTTATTCTACATCTTTGAGTTATCTAGTCTCTGGTTCTTGACCACCCAATCAGTGCCATTTATGCATGCCTTCTTATGAAGTGAGTCTGATGTCAAATCAGACACTGGTTGGCTAGTCCCACAGGCTCTGTGCCACCACTGCCCCAGCCTATTCTGCAGCCAGTACCGTAGGTCTAAGGTTTCATAGCTGGATCAGTGTTTATGTTTCTCTCTTAGTAGCCTGCAGAGCACCTTTCTGAACCAAAGACATTAGAATGTAGGGGTGAAGCCTTCATTTAGACTCCAGTTCTACTTCTTCATGTTCAATGCATTGTGAGTGTTTGGTCTCAGCACTGGGGCCATGCTGTCACTTTTCTGGGAACAACCTTTTGTCTTACTATCAGCTTAAGTTGTTTAGGGATTTCCATGGGATCTGATCAGCATAGCCAACAACTCAATTGAACGCCGCCCAGATGTGCCACTGGAAGCCTTGCCCAGCTACAATGGGCAGTTGAGACTCATTACTTATGCTGGATCTTACCATTCCATAAATCTCAGCTAATTCTCAACTCATAGAAATGTCTTATTTAATACATATCACAGGCTTAGGAGGGGAGATCTATTCCATTGTGAATGTTCACAAGGATACTCCATATATGTTTTAAGAGAAGTATTCAGAAACAGCACCTATATTCACAGGACCTGTGGAAGGTAAAACAAAGTACCACTTTTACATGATCCCAGGCCTGTTGAGTTGTCTGAGATTCCTTGGGAATGGAATGCTCCTGAAGATTGTGGTTAACACTCTGCTGTAGAAAACTGGGAACAGCAGCGTCCATAGTCGCTTTTGTGAGTCAAGTTGCTGAATTCTTACAAAATTTCCATCCGCAACACCTAGGCTACTTATTGTGCGACCCTGTCAGACAATGAAAAAAAGGTCCTGGGAAAAGAAGCTGACATTAATAGAACAGATTATCACAATCTGTTGACTCATGATTTTAAAATCTCCTAAGGTCACTCATTACTAGTCAATCACATATACACATATATTCAAATAGCTTCATTCCTTTGCCTAATTTTCATTGTCAGCAATTTTCCAGACATGGTTCTTGCAAGTTCCTGACCATTCAGCCAAACCATTGCCCAGAGTTAATGATAGGCACAAATGTTACATCTGGCTATTTATTCTTTCCAAAGAATGAATTATCCAAGTGAAATGCTTGAATTTTGGCCTCTGCATTTTAAAGATATCATAAAATGAAACTATAGACTTATAACTATCCCTTTCCTACATTGTCTCTATGGTATAGACCCACACATGAACCAGGCCTAAATTTTGTCTTCATTGTCCAACAAGCAATTGAAAATTCCCTCTAACAATAAAAGTGTGAGTTGGAAAGCAAAATGATGTAACAAGAGTAGGAGTTATGGTATCTGACCTACTTCTCACATAACTTAATTATACTTCTCATATAAAGTATTTCAATTTTTGGAGTTCTGCTTGAGCTGTATCTCACATGTAACAATTCCATTTGTTAAAGGAGAGCTATTGCACACACCAGATGCTGAAATGTGAGGCAGACACCTCCAATGCATAATGAACATCTTGAGTCACATACCTGCTTGGTAGGTGATCAGGTGTTACATAATTAATTCATTGCAACAGTTAGATCTTCCTAAGCTTTAGCTCTGTAGAACAATCTTCTTCTGCAGGACGATAAGGCAGTTAATCAATCTTGCACCTTCTTCCTCAACCGTCCCCCAAAGGGGATGTGATGGGAACTGATAGCATCAAATCAGTACTCATAAATAGAGTGCACTTATTAGATACAGATATGGCAGGGACCAGGAATTAGCAGCACTTCCAAAGAATTGTGTATGTATATACCATATTAGACTGCAAAGCCAAAGAAGTAATCAAAATAGTATAACTCAATTCCCATGGTGCTGGCTATTTGATAATGTCCCTGGTAAAGTAAAAGATGGGCAACTAATCTAATATAATTATGTGGTATTCTTGGAATGTTGAACAGAATCATAACCTGAATCACTAAAACAGAAAGAACTCTTTCACTTTCCATGTTTATAGACTTTAATTCCTGGACTGAAGGGGAAGCAGTTTCTGCCTGAGGAAGGACACTTTTTTTTTTTAACTGACCAAAGGAACATACAGACCAGGAAAATCCAAGATGACACATACTGAATTTCCCATAGTACAAAATGGTCCATATGGATTTATATTTTGATATTCATTCTGTTTCATTGATACTATTATTCATATTAAAATAACTGCAGGGATTATTGGAAGCTAAAAGACCAAGAATCCATGATAGTCCATTAAAATGGCCTGAATTGTTTTATGATGATAGGAAGCATGGAGGGGTAAAGGTGCATTCAGCTTGACTTTGTTGAGAACTCATTAGGAACTGAAGGTGAAATGGAAAGAGTTGAAGGTGAATTCAAAGGGGTGGTGATGTTCAGCAGACTGAAGCTGGATACCGAAAGAGAGAAATGATATCAGCTAGTCAGTTTATGCTACCCCACTGGATAATGCCACAAAAGACACCTGGCTAAAGCTGAAGAAAATACCCTATCACACGGACAAGTTCCTCCTCAACTACTGGATTGCTCCTTCTACTGCCAATTTCCCTCTCCTCTTCCCTAATCCATTTGTGTCTCTTTTAGAACCTTGAACATGTTCTCCTCCCTGCTCCTCTTCTTCCATCCCCAAATGTGAGTGACAATTGTCTGGCATGGGACGCTTGTGGGGTCACTAGCAGTGAAACCAGTATTTAACCCTAGTGCATGACCTGGCTCTTTGGAGTCCATTCGCAATGGAGGGATACCTTTGTTCGGCCTAGATACCGGACCTGGGGGAACCTTGATCCTCCCTCAAGTGATGCAAAAGACTTTGTTGACCCTCCCATGGAGAGTGGATGGGGGGTGGAGTGTGGAGAAGGTAGGGGAGTGGGAGGACAGGAGGGAGAAGGAACTAGGATTAGTATGTAAAAATAAGATTGTTTTAAAAATAAAATAAAACCTTCAACAACTCCAACCTTATTCTCAACTGGTAGCCTTGCTCTCTAGCTGTGAAAATGAACAAGAGAAGGACAGCCACAGCGCCACCAGAGAGAAGTCAACTAACTGCCTCTGGTGCAAGTAATGAGTGTTTTCTCATTCTCAGCCTCCTCCTCTTGATTTCCTTCTCTCCCCACCCTATTTGTTTTAGAATGCCAAAGGATTTAATATTTTGTCTTTTCCATTTTTTTTCTTCAGACTTTTCTCTACTTTATTTTTTCTGGGTAACACCTGTCTTAAGGTCCTTGAGTCATCTTAATGTGTCAATTTATTTTCATTGGCTGAGTCAGAGTCTCTTGGCTCTGGTTCTAAAATGGCAGAATTGTCTGCCTCGTACTTTCTCACCTGAAACTCTCATCACCTGAGCCATCATTATTTCTGGCCTGAATCACTGTCAGAGACTCCCAACTTGACACCCTTCTTTTCTTCTGTCCTGAGGGGGTACTTTTCCAAGTAGCCCAGGGGATCCTATTAGAGCAGAAATCAGGCAAGGCTTACTCTTTGTTTAGAATGTTAGTATGACTCATGGCTTCATCCTGAGGGGGGAAAGTTGATGCAATATCCTCAGACACTAACTATGATATTAAAGGTCTACACTCGGCTGTTACTAACTTGTCATTTTACCCCCACACCTTCTTAGCTTTGCTCAACCACACAAAGTGTTCTCTTACAGGTAGATACCTGAATTGTGTTTTCTCTGAACCTGGGTACTGTTACTCCAGGTATTTGCACAGATTTTTTTTCTCAACATCTTCAAATCTTAGTTCACATTTGTCTTTCTCACTGGGACCCTCTCTGATTTCTTCACATAAATCACATTTTGGCTGCTCACTGCTCCCAAGCTCTTCCATGCTTATTATTGTGCTTTTCATAGCATGAACTCCATCTTCTCATGTATCACTTTATGTTTTGTTTGTGTTCTGGAGTTTAAACTGTTTGAGAGCAGCAATCTTAATCTGTCCTGTTCACTGTCAGATCCTTAATACCAAAAAAAGGCTTTCTGTGCGCTGATCCCTATATAGATTTTGCCCAATTTTAACATGAATGACACAGTAATGTCATTCTTGATTTCTCCCTCTCTTCCAACAAACCCTTCCCTTCTTTAGACAATTTTCGAATTCACATATGCTCTGCTGATATATTTGATTTGATTACTTAATGATCTGACCTTCCTTCCACACTGTACACACCACAGAGCAAAATCTGCATCCCAACTCTACTCCACAGTGAAGAGTCTGACACTGAGACTCTGTTCTTCTCTGCTTTTAGTATTGTATATTAATTGCTCACTGCATGTTTTTTCTATGACTTTTCCTTACACATATATAATGTGTCTTAGTCACATTTCTCCCTGTGTTACTCTTTCCTATCTCTAGATTACTTCCCCCATTTCTATACATTTAGTTCCCCTTTGTGAGAACTCTGTCATTGAGTCAAACCACATTTTTAAAGAAAATATTTTTTTCTTAGTAATTTTATAGAACTCATTAGAAAGCTGGCAAACTAAGAACAGAAAACTATAAAAAATCTATATCCTCACTTTCAAAAACATCTTATTTTAGTACATACCCTTCAACTGTTTTCCACTGAATTTGGAGTTACTTGCGTGAAAGACTTTAGATTATGTTGAACATGTATCTATACCAAGTTCCATGACAGGGTCCATAGGTATAGGTCCATCTATCTCGACTAAGAGTCAGAGGGTTGGAACTTACTTCTATTCCTTCCAGTTTATTGCCTGCTTCTACTTCAACCAAAGGTCCCACCTTGATTTAGATCAGGTAGTTCTGATCATTAAAAATTATTATCAACAGGTGAGGCTAATTTCCAGACCTGGTATTTCAAATATTAAGAAGTAGATCTGTCTGATGTGGGGTTGGTGAAAATCTTTTCCCATTCTGTAGGCTGCCATTTTGTCTTGTTGACTGTGTCTTTTGCCTTACAGAAGCTTCTCAGTTTCAGGAGGTCCTGTTTATCAGTTGTTCCTCTCAGTGTCTGTGCTACTGAGGTTATATTTAGAAACTGATTTCCTGTGCTAATGCATTCAAGTGTACTTCCCACTTTCTCTTCTGAACTTTGAGGTTCAGTGTGCTTGGCTTTATCTTGATGTTTTTGATCCATTTCGACTTGAGTTTTGCGCATGTTGATAGATGTGGGTCTATTTTCACTCTTTTATATATTGATATCCAGTTATGCCAGCACCATTTGTTGAATATGCTTTTTTTTCCATTTTATGTTTTTTGGTTCTTTGCCAAAAATCAGGTGTTAATAGGTGTGTGGTATAGGTGTAGGTATATCTGGGTCTTTGATTCAGTGGAAGTTTAATTTCCAAAATTTATAAAGAACTCAAGAAACTGGTCATCAAAATGACAAATAATCCAGTAAAAAAATTATGGGGTACAGACCTAAACAGAGAACTCTCAACAGAGGAATCTAAAATAGCTGAAAGGCACTTAAGGAAATGCTCAACACCCTTAGCCATCAGAAAAATGAAAATCAAAACAACTCTGAGATTTCATCTCACATCTGTAAGAATGGCCAAGTTCAAAAACACTGATGATGACTTATGTTGTAGAGGGTGTGGGGTAAAGGGAACACTCTACATTATGGTGGGAGTGCAAGCTGGTAGAGCCCATTTGGATATCAGTAAGGCAATTTCTCAAAAAATTAGGAAACAACCTTCTTCAAGACCCAGTGATACCACTTTTTGGTATATATCCAAAGGATGCTCAATCGTACCACAAGGACATGTACTCAAGTATGTTCATAGCAGCAATGTTTGTCATAGCCAGAACCTGAAAACAACCTAAATTCCCCTAGACTTAGGAATGGATAAGGAAAATGTGGTACATTTGCACAATGGAGTACTACAGAGCAGAAAATAATAGTGACATCTTGAAATTCGCATGAAAATGGATGGATCTAAAAAACATCATACTGAGTGAGGTAACTCAGAGCCAGAAAGGCAAACATCATATATACTCACTCAAAAGTGGCTTTTAGATATAAAACAAAGAAAACCAGCTTATAATTCACAACTCCAGAGAACCTAGACAACAATGAGGACCTAAGAGAGACATACATGGATCTAATCTACATGGGAAATAGAAAAAGACAAGATCTCCTGAGTAAATAAGGAGCATGGGAACCAGGGGAGAGGGTAGAAGCGGGTGGGGGGGAGAGGAAGGAAAGGTAGCAGAGAAAAATGTATAGCTCAACAATCAATTTAAAAAATAGAAAAGAAAAGTAGATCTGTTTATACCTCAGACAAAAGTCTAAGAATCCAACTAGGTTCCTACTCCCTTAGAGAGATAACTATGGATTTCACCCAGGGAGTGGTTTCCCTACAGAATGTTTTGATCTAAGGTGTGAGAGTTACTTGTCTTGTTCTGGCAACAGAATTTTTAACGAAGAATGTAGCTAGCAACCATTTAACTGGTCTGTTCATTTCCTTGTATCATGTTAATGCAGTTTTTATCTTACTCCTACCTTTTGGGGTCAGGGTATTTTAAGCAAATTAAAATTAAACATGTGCAATTGCAGTATTCACTGGAACACTCCCTCCCGATACTATCCTATGTTTCTGTTTCATTACTTTTACTCTTGCCTTCATTCTCTTTATTTATTTTTCTAATCCCCAAGCCCCTACCCTGGTAAGTGGTATCTTTGTCAAAGCTGGTCTCCACCAGT